GGGGGGGGGGAGAACAATATCACCTAGACCGGAGACTGTTAAGGAAATCGGCTCATCGTGCATACAATGCACTAACATGACTATGCCAACCGTTAAATACGCCTTCTTGGCGTGCTTGGCAACCATCTCTCCATCTTGCACCTTTGGTGCCGATTTATCCCATAGCAAACAATCCACAATCCACGATCCACTCACACTCTTGATTTCCATCCTGTGCATGAACTTTACAACCTTCTTCTTCTTCTTCTTCTTCTCGAAAGCACAGGCCAGATTTCCTCCGTCAGGCAAAGACGATGCCAATCCGTCTACCTCCATCCCGCTCCGGTTCTCACTAGTCCTCGCATCTTCTTCGCAGACAGTCTCGTCGACCCATCAAGGCTCAACCCGTATCTGACGCCTCGAGAGCCAGCACGCATCGGCCCAGGGACTGAGTATGGCTGCTGGTATTCTTGCCGAAACAGAATAAGAGGAGCAGAGGAGGTCCCACTTTCCGCCCACGTATCGTATGGGTCCCACCGTATTTCCATACGAGCGAGAGGGGGTGGTCTCTGTCTTCTTGCTGGTTTCCGCGCGGGAGAGGAGAGAGAGAGAGAGACAGAGTTTGCCGGGGAACGCTCTGCCAGGGAGATGAAGAGGGATCCCTGCTCGAATCTCACGCGCCATTGCTCGTATCTGAGATGGCACCACCCAGAGTACCCTCCGCTCCGTCCTCGGTTCCCTCCCAGGCTTCCCCCTTCCTCCTCTCCCGGACAGTAGACGATCCTGTGGATGTGCCCTCCGACCTCTCGACATGCCGCATTGACTGGGCTGTGCGGCGCAGCTGTCTTCGGCGGTCTCGTTGGTGAGGCTTGTATCATCTACATACTCCGTACGTATGTGTATGTGTGGTGATATACATGATACGTGGGGGGATCGTAGCGTAGAAGAAGGAAAATAAAAGAAGAAAATAAAAGAAGAAAAAGAAAGAAGAAAAACACCAGCCCTACTCTAGCAGTTTGCTCCGAGCCGTCACTTAATATATCCATTATGCGAGCGATACATATCGCCGGCACGTTGGATCCGCACCGTATCCTGTCGCGTACACAGATATCACATCCTAGGGACGTGCCGGTCTCCCTCTCAGTACGACGCCGCTTTCTTGCCCATCCTCCACATCGCACCTACGCTCCATCATATCATCATCATCGTCCTCCTCTTCAAAGGTTGCCGCTGCTTCATCTCTGCCATCACCCGTCACTCGTACCCGTCTGGTGCGAATCTGGGCCAGATTCTCATGTACGTGTGCCTGGATCGCCTCGTACTCTACAGCTCCTCTCCAATCTGTCGGGTGAGATGAAATTGCTCGCATCCTGCCCCTCCCCCCCCCCGAAACGTCGAAAAGATACTTATGTAATCTCTCACGGGCCACACCCCTTCAATTCAGCCTCCACCCCTCTACGGAAACCCCTCTCATCCTCCTCCGTTTGCCTCTCCTCCTCATCCAACCGACCCCCTCTCACCGGAGCGCGTACCTCTGGTGCCTCTCACTATCATGTGCGATGCGTTGCGGGGCAGCCCTCCCGCTGTTATATATGTGCAGGCACCCCATAATCCCACCTCCGTTCCCGTTCCGGAGTCCGTCTGGCGACTATCCCGTGGCCGTCAACCGATCGGGATCCAGGGCATTCGAATGATGGTCCGGAGGGAATGCGGTGCTTCATCGTGAACCTCTCCCTTCGACCTAGGAGTCACGGCACCGGAGCATCCGATGGGTCACCTCTCAGCTCGGCGGCCTACAGATATGCCCGTCCCGACAGCCACGCTCGAGTTACGAGCAGAGCACCTTCACCTTCACCCTACTTCATAGATCGAAAAAAAAAAAATACACGTGCCCCCCATCATCCGAATCGCAGAGCTCGGGCACACACGAAAGCTGGTAGGATGCGCCCATGCCAAGGAGTGATCGAGATATCGTAGACACCTCAGCATCCTCCCCCGATCGCTGATGTGACCTCATCTCTCGAAACTGGCTACTGGATAAGCAACCACGACCTGCTTCGCGGCGTCAGCGATGCAGCAATAACAGAGTGCTTCCAGGAGGGTAGAGAATCACTGCTCCTTCCCTTCCCCCGTACAGCCATCGTCCCTCAGCGGACGCACTCCCGGTGGCTTGCCGATGCCGGTGACCTCACAGGCCGACCAGGCAGCGGCTCGTAGAAGCGTCAAGCATCGAGCCGTGACGGGGATCATGAAGAACAGGTGCGGCCGAGCAGCGTATAGAAGCCTCGGCCCCTCTCCACCAAGGTCGGCTCTGTACGATATAACCCAAAGGCGCGTTCTCGTCGACGACGGGCGCGCCACATTACCGCAGACACGTCCGACGCTTCGACCGAGAATGTCAGACTCTTCAGCCGGATGGAAGGCTTCCAGATACCGCCTGGGCTGGCGGGGGACGCTGCAGATCTGTCGCAGCAAGGCCGCAGGCTCATCTCAGGCATATTCGGCTGCGGGAGAAGCCAGATACTCGTGAGGCTCTCCGACGCCAGCGACCTACCCCACATGGGGCTTGCCGCGCACCGATGGCCGCCCGTGGACGGCATGCACGGCCTCCTGGCGCTGGACCCGGGTGAGCTGAGTACGGAACGCTTCCCGGGCCTCCGGATAGGCCCCTCGTTGCCGGAGCGGGCTCCCGAGGGCGCTGCGCTCCTGCACGGCGATTCGTGACTGCATCAAGCATCGGCTCCGGGCCTGGGAGGTCTACAAACTCCTCGGGAGAGACCTGGCCCCCGATGTGGCCGACAGCATCGACTGGCAGAGCCCCGACACCGCTCGCCTCCTGGAGGAGGAGGGGATGGCTGAGCGGATGGCCGCCGACGCCCGGCACGAGGGCCAGCGCCTGTGGCTCGCGTGCGCCGGCCACGTCAACCTGATCCCCCTCCTGCCGCTGGAGACGGACGAGGCGGACGTTGACCCCATCACCGACGAGGTGCTCACGGCCGACGCCGCCCTACGCGACATCTCCCTCAACGACGCCGGCCGGCGTCGGTGAGATGGTGAGGAACAACACCGGACACGCGACCTGCGAATTCGGCCAGCGCATGATTCGCAGGATCGCCAACCACGACGGCACGTCGCCGATCCTCCGCGAATACGCCCGTAGCCGGCGCCCTGTGGATATCCTGGGGGATGAAGTCGTCGTTTGCGGGTATACGTACCGGTGTCACTGCGAATGCAAGCTCCACGAGTTAGACCCGGCGTCGGACGACATCAACTACTACATCCAGGATCATGAATCATGAGTAGACGGGCGATGAACAAAAGAAAAAAAACACCCTGGGAATTTGTGGAAAGAGGGGGGGGTAAAGAGATAAGTTGATGGTCAAGATGACACTATCGATTATTGTAACTTTTTTTTTTCCGTTCGTGAAAGTGATTGTCGCTGCTCGTGACTCGGTGCTCTTGACTCTTTGGCGGAGATGGCTTCCACGGTTAGTAAGCCAAGGGCTGAGGAGGAAATAGGTTGGGGGGGGGGGGTTATACGGCTAGAGCCACTGGCACTTTCATTGGTTCAGTGCCCTCCGGTCAAACTTCGGCAGGTACGGATACAGTCCAGCACATCATACGTCACCAAGCCACACCGTCTGGTGGATACGGCGTGCGAGGCGGGATGAGATGAGGTGTTCCCAAGGTTTGGAATCTCCAGCATCGACGCCGGCCGGTTCAATCTTCCTTCCACTACTACAAAGACTGCTCCCTCTTCTCATGCTACGCATATAACAAAGGGTTGTCGCCATGTATAACCCAGGCGACAACGACACGTGCGATTCGCAAGAATATATCCGACCAGCTTCCAAGACGACAAAGGACCTGGGCATCCAGCTGGGTCTGTCCCTCATCATCGGTGTCTCCGCCTTCGTCACCTTCTGCGTGCGTCAAGCTCCCAGACTCCGCTGCCTGCCGATCGGGTATGGAGATGAGATGTATCCGGGGTTCTAGACTGACGATGGCGAGCAGACACTCCGTCCGAGATGGCCCTTTCTGTACGCGGCACGCAAGCGCCGCCTCGAACCGAAGATTGTCCTCCCGGCCTTGTCCAACACGTTCCTCGGATGGATACCGAGGCTGTACAGGATCTCCGAGCAGGATGTCCTCACCACGGCCGGGCTGGACGCATTCGTGGTACGTCATGGACGTGACGGTTGGCTCCGCTGTCTTGCCAGGATCTCGCTGACCTTGAGAGCAGTTCCTGAACTTCTTCAAGATGGCCATTCGCCTGTTTGCCATCATGGCCTTCTTCGCAACGCTCATCCTCCTCCCGATCAATAACAAGTACCGCAATTTCCGCCTCTCGTTTGGCGGAAATGGAACCTCGGGCAACAGCACGGAAGAGATCGACCTGTTCGGCATGCACCCGACGCACCTACCGCTCGACGACGACGTCCTCGGCGGCGGCGGCGGCCACGACGACAAGGACCACAGCCGCGATAGGCCGTACCTCTGGGCCTACGTCATCTTTACCTACTTCTTCGTCGCCTTGACGCTCTACTTCATCAACTGGGAGACGTTCCGCATCATCCGCCTCAGGCAGAAGTACCTGGGTCTGCAGTCGACCGTGACGGACAGGACGTTCCGCCTGACTGGCATTCCGTCGGAAATGCGATCGGAGGACGAGATCAAGCAGCTCATCGAGAGCCTGCATATCGGGCATGTGAAGAAGGTCATGCTCTGCCGCGATTGGAGGGAAATTGACGATCTCATGGAGCAGCGCGATCGGACGCTCCGACAGCTCGAGAAGTCCTGGTCTCGTCTGCTCAGGGCTCAAGCCTCCGCCAAGCCGGCCGAGGCAAACCACCACTCCCACGGCGACGGCACGGCAGCAGATGACGGTACCGACGCTGTCGACGGGGGACCGGGGCCGGACGAGAATGGACAGCTGCTCGGGCACGGTTCCGAGCCGTCACACGTTGCCGAGGCAAAGCGGCCGAAAGTCACCATCTACTACGGGCTTCTCAAGCTGCGGTCCAAGAAGGTGGATGCGATCGACTACTACGAAGAGAAGCTGCGACGTCTCGACGAGAAAGTCGTCGTCGCCAGGGGCCGCGAGTACAGGTCGACCGACATGGCCCTGGTGACCATGGACTCGGTCGCGTCGTGCCAGATGCTCATCCAGGCCAGGATCGACCCCCGACCGGGCAGGCTGCTGACCAAGCCCACCCCGGCGCCGGCGGACCTGGTCTGGAAGAACATGTACGCGCTGCGCGGCATCCGCAGGCTCAAGTCGTGGGCCATCACCATCTTCATCACGTTCCTGACGCTGCTGTGGATCTTCCCGACGGCCTTCATCGCCTCGTGGCTCAGCATCTGCACCGTCAAGAAGGTCGCCCCGTCGCTGTGGGGCTGGCTCAACAGCCACACGCTCATCTACTCGCTGCTGCGGAACGGCGTGCCCACCCTCGTGGTCTCGCTGCTCAACGTTGCCGTCCCCTATCTGTACGACTGGCTGTCCAACCGGCAGGGCATGATCTCGCAGGGTGACGTGGAGCTGTCGGTCATCAGCAAGAACTTCTTCTTCACCTTCTTCAACACCTTCTTCGTCTTCGCCGTCTCGCGCACGGGCTTCGACTTCTGGAGCACGCTGCAGGAGCTGCTCAAGGACACGAGCAAGATACCGGCCGCCATCTTCTCCGACGTCGAGGAGCTCTCCATCTTCTACATCTCCTTCATCATGCTGCAGGGCATCGGGCTCATGCCCTTCCGCATCCTCGAGGTCGGCAGCGTCTTCCTGTACCCCTTCTCGCGGCTGATGTCGGCCACGCCGCGCGACTTCTCCGAGCTGCGGGAGCCGCCGGCGTTCCAGTACGGCTTCTTCCTGCCGACGGCCCTGCTCGTCTTCAACCTCTGCCTCATCTACAGCATCCTCCGCATGGGCTTCCTCATGCTCATCTTCGGCACCATCTACTTCGCCCTCGGCTACTTCACCTTCAAGTACATGCTCCTCTACGCCATGGGTCAGCCGCAGCACGCCACCGGCGGCGCCTGGCGCATCATCTGCTACCGCATCCTGGTCGGGCTCGTCGTCTTCGAGGTCGTCATGGTGGGCCAGATCGCCTCGCTCAAGGGCTTCGTCCAGTCCGTCTCGATCCTGCCTCTGATCCCCTTCACGGTCTGGTACAGCTACTACTACAACCAGCGCTTCGAGCCCCTCACGAAGTACATCGCCCTCCGGGCCATCCAGCCCAACGAGAACGAGGACGAGGACGCTTACGGCGGCCTCCTGGGCGGGTCGGCCATCCTGGACGGTGAGCCGTTCGACGACGAGAGCGGCATCAGGCCGTCGCAGGTCGTCTTCCGTCGCGGCAGCACCTTGGACGAGTTCAAGGAGCATGGCCTGACGTTTGTCAATCCGAGCCTGGTGGTCCCGTAAGTCTTCTTCTCATTCATCTCTCTCTCTTCTCTTCTCTTCTTCTTTCCTCCTCTTTACATATATCCACCTCTCTTCGCTCCCCTCTCCGGATATCATATCTCTCTGCCAGTCCACATCATCCACATGAAAGGTCATCAATCAGTACTAACCGACGTGTCTCTCTCATCAGTCTACAACGCCCCTGGATCTACAGGGACCAGCCACCACCGGTACCAGATGATGACTCCGAGACCACAGAGGGGCAGCAGCCCAGTCTCATCGTCCCCGACTCCGACGCATCTCTCGGTATCGGGGAAGACAATGTTTGGAGGGATTCTGGAAATAATGCGGCCTAAGTGGCGGGTCGGGCTGTCTGTAAGCGATAGGATGAATAGGAAGAGCATTGCTGAGGAGGAGAAGGAGAAGAATGAGAAGGAGGAGGAGAAGTAGGAGGAGAAGGAGAAGTAGAAGAAGTAGAAGAGGAGGAGGAGGTTGAGGTGATGTGCACTCGTGCACTCGTGCACTTGTTTTGATTGCTGGTTTCATGTATGTCTGGATAGTTTGCACGATTCTCCTTTGTCTACAGAATACCCAACTAGATTCCATCGAGAACATCGTTCCAGGGTTGCTGCGCTGTTGTTTCACCATGTGCAGAGGAGGAGGGCAATGTGCTTGACGATGGCGCCTGCGGTGTCGAAGCTGAGGGAAGGAGCGATGTGCTTTCATGAATGAAGCTCCTTTTACTGCCACCTGACCGATGATCAACTTCTGCTGTCTTGTCCTCTCCCGCATCTCCCATCTCCTTCATCTCCTTTCATCTCCCCTAGCTCTACATCCTAATTCTATTCCCTAAATCAATCTATATTCTTTTCTTTTTTGCCCTCTCTTGACTCCGATGATATCCTATTGACCCCTTGTCTACTGTCTACACGACTATATGTAGTAATAATCATACAAGTTTATTCTACGCCTCTCAAAATCAGCACGCAGCACCACCATCAAAAAGAAAAAAAAGAAAGAAAAAAAAAGTGAAAAGAACGGAATCGGATAAGAACAAACGAGTGGATAGGGAACCCTGCAAAGTATCCAACTACCGAAATTGAAATGCAGACGTTCACCCCAAGAGCATGGGATGGGAGCTCCCAGTCAGATCTGCCCAAAGTCGGACCACAGGGTATGCTGACCTCGATTGTCTTGACCGACAAGGGCGACAACGCTGACGATTCACATCTCAACCAAGGCCTCACAGCTCTGCCTGTCGAACTGATACATCACATCTACTTCTTCCTATCGCCCGCCGACTTTGATTCGGCGAGGAAAACATGCCACGCGTTGCTCAGCACCGCCGTCAATGGACATGTCCTACGGCGTATGCTCAAGCGAGGCGGCTGGTGGAGAAGCGTCTCAGGCATGCTCTCCCGGCCGGATGAGGCGACAGGTCAACAATACGACGAGAACGACCTGGCCGTCATGAGCAGGTGGCTCTCCAGGGAGTGTGCCCTCTGCAGCACTGCAGCAGGTGCCTTCTCGGAGGTGGGCCTCACCGATTTCGGTCAGCTTGCCCCGGCCCTGAGGCATGGCATGCCTCACGACTGCGCTGCCTTCACCGTCAGCCTCTACGGAAGGTTCGTCCTGGCGGCGCTCGGAGAAGCGGTGTACGTGTACGAGCTGGACCATGTCTGCGCAAGGGACCATCGGAGGCGGACGGCGCTGCCCCGACGGCGCGAGGGCCTGCCGCTGGGCATGTTGCGGCCGGTGACGCTGATCATCTGCGATCGCCAGGTGATCTCGTGCAGCATGGACACGTCCAAGGGCCGCAACTCGGTAGCCATCCTGATGCAGGGGCGCCTGGGCTTCGTGTGCGACGTATCGCCTCGGCGGCTGGGGATACCGGTGTCGGATTCCTGCGCCTCCACCTGGCCGGTTCTGGCGGCGAGCGAGGCAGGGCAGCACACAGAGGCAGAGGCGTCTCGCACGTGTATATGTCGCGTAGAACCGGCGACGCGAGCACCGGCGGCTGAGACCAGCGCGGCGTCGGTCTATCGGAGCATCTGCTTCCCGGACGACCCGCCCAGGTCCGTGGCCCTCCACCCGCAGCGACACTGCGTCGCCTTTGGCTGCTCGGGGGGGGTCGAGCTGTACTGGACGGACGCGGTTAGAGGGACCCATCTGAGTCGATGGTTCTCGCTTGCGAGTCCCAGCGACTACCTCTACTTCATGCCTCCCCGCCAGGACATAGACATGCCCAAGAGGCTGAGGCTGATCGGCTCGGCCATGGCGCTGGAGTCCCCCGCAGAGTCATTTGGCAACATTGTCAACGGCCTCAACCCGACCATATTCGGATCCAGGACTGTGTCCACCGTACCTCTTGCCGGCTTGAGCTCGGCCGAGATGGCGGGTGCGGGACAGACGGCGCAGACGACGGCGCCGACAAGAAACTCTGCCGACCGAGCGGGGCAGCCACAAAGCCAGCTGCCGTCTATGACGTCGAGGAATGCTTACCATTATCGAGCCGTGCCACTGAGCGACGGCCACCACATCCTCTTCACCGACCCCTGGTCCGGCAACCTCTGCCTAGGGACCGATGCGCCCGCAGGATCCCTTACGCGCCTTGTGAGGAAGGTCTGGTTCTCTCCACCGGCGGCGGCAGCATCGTCGGCACCCATCCTCTACGCCGCCGGGGCCGACCTGAGTCACGGTGTGCGAGTGGTGGCGACATTTCCCGTACGGAAAGGTGGACACGACAGCTGCTGCAGAAGGTTTGGAATTGGGTTGCACGCCCCGCTAGCTGCTAGCGGCGTCGACGGTGTCCGAGCCCCTCAGAATCAGAGCGGCACGGCTCGGAATCGGGACAGTTCCGTTCGGAATCGCGGTGGTACGATTCCGAGACACGACGACGGGGGTCGGAATCAGACCCCTGTCCATGGAGCTCGGGATCCGTCCGATGTGGGTCGGAACCAGGCTGCTGATGTGAGCGGCGATCAGATTATCGTCTTCTACACAATCCCTCCCGACACGTTCCACGACATCAATACGCGCGGTTCCCCTGCTTCACAGGACCGGCTTGGCACGTGGCGTGCGACCGAGGACGCGGAAGAGCTACCCGATTGGGCCCCGTGGATGGCTAGGGGGACGTTGGGCGGGATGGGCGAACCCCTTGGGCATCAACAGCGAGATTACCACAGCAACTCCGACTTGCCAATCTCCATCGCCGGGCAGCCCGTGGCCGTCTGCAGCAGCCTCGTCGAGGTTTCGCTCAAGGCCTGGCCGGTCGTGGCGATCTGGGCCTTCAGCGCGGAGGGATGGTCGAGGACGTGGTCGCTGGCGACGGCTTCGCAGATGGAGCGCACGGTGTCTGCGGTTCAGAGAGACGGAAGCCTTCGGCGCGCAGGCCCCGACGACGACGACCAGCTGGATGGCGAAGACGACGACGACGACGACGACAAGACAGCGAATTCGGCGTCGGCTCCGGCGGTAGTGGATGACGCAGCTGACAAGTCGGGACCAACACCGGCGCCGTTTGACGGACCGTCATGCACTCAAATAGCGGGCCCCTCCTGCCACCAACAAGTGCTGCCTGCCGCAGGAGGACCGGCCAGTCAGATATCAAGAGGGGGCATACGGCGGGCGGCTGGGTTGGATGTCGCAGACGGGCGGGCGGATGGAATTGTGCGGATTGATGTGGAACTTAGATAAGGTGCGGGCAGACGGGCAACAGACATGGGAAGCAACGACGTACACGGTTGACAGATGGACCTGGAGCAGGATGCATAATAGAGTCATCACGTATCAATTACATGCAGGAAAGGAAGATTAGAGGTGGCATTAGAAGAAGAAAAAGAAAGAAAAAAAAAAGGTTGACGTGCGTAAGTGGGCAAAAGGGGAGAGATGATGGCAGCATCTGTAATCTGCAGAGAATACAGGGTCAGAGTAGTAGCAATAGACCAATGATAGGACATGTATGCCGTCGACGCTCTCGGGAAGGCCGCCGCAGATGCCGCAGGGCCCGCCCGCAACCTCCGTAGGTGCCGTGGGTCCCGCAGATGCCGCAGATGCCGCATCGGAGGTCCGTGGCCCATCGATGTTGCCTATCTCAGCCGGTTGTCCCTTGATTAGAAATTAAAAGAATAGAAAAAAACGGAGGGAAGGGAAAGGAAAACAGGTTCGCAGAGGAAAGACGGGCCCGAGGATTCGCGCAAGATGGGGGATTTTCGTTCAACGCCCCCCCCCCCCCCCCCCCCCCCCTCCCCTTTTAACCCCACCGGCCCCTGCTCTGGTGTTGGGTAGTATCAGTGGTGGTCAGTCAGGATTGATACTTGATACTTGTGGGTGGTTGAAGACGAAACACGGGTCTCGGGAAGCGGCACGATGATGATGGAGGAAGCAACTGAAGGGAGATGGAGTTGAACGTAGGACAGGAAGGAGGAGGAAGAAAACAGAGGAGGATCAAGAGTTGAATAGAGAAAGAAAGAAGAGACGAGAGAGAGAGAGGGGGGGAAAAAAAAAAAGAATCTGTTTGCCATGATATCACCAACGGTGTATCTCATCATACATCTCACACGGTAACGATGAGGATATACTTGTAGTTTCTCCTCTTACATTTGTTTCATCATGGTACTACGTCATCTGTAGTGTCATCATACGTAGTGTCATGATACATACTCCGTCATGTACTGTGAACGCATTGGTATTACGGCGTACAATCACTTGCAAGTCTGCAACGTAAGCATGCCTCGTACAGTCTCGTATACAGGGGACACAAGGTTGGAGGACGGAGAAAGAAGAGAAGAAACGGCATCGTATGAGACGAAATGGAGAGTGGATAGTGGATAATGCTGGGCCGAGACCGGCCCGCTGTACTTGTAGGATATTCCGGAGGGTCCAGCTTTCGGGACCGACGTGGGTCCATGGGTGTACGAGCGGTATGGTATTATTACTCGTACGAGAACGCTGTGGTGTATGCGTATTCGCCGTATCGATGGTGGAGGAATGTGTCGAGATGATGAGAAACAGGAATGAGAAGAGGAAACGAGATGTAGAGGAAAATAGAAGACGAGAAGAAAGGAAGGGAGAAGAAGAGAGAGATGGTCAGGATGAAGACACAGAGTTCAAGACGAAAAGCAGGCATTCCGATACAAGATATATATCAGCTGTCGATCAAAAACAATGTCATCGTTACATGTACAGAAACAAACGAGAGAGAAGAACATGTACAATAGAGAGAGAGAGAGAAGAGGAGGAAAGGGAAAAAAAAAGAGTGGAGAGAGAGAGGGAGAGGTCTTCTACCCGGCTTCTGCCTCTTGCCATTCCCGTCATAGAGCCGCTACCTAGAAAAGGAAAGGTCGAGTGATGAAAAAAAGGGTTAAGAGAGAAAAAGAAGAGGATGGAATCGGAATAAGAGATGATGTGTATGTCGCACTCCCCCCCCCCCCCCCCTGATTCCGCGCCGCGACAAAGTCTACGGAGTATTATCAAGGGGTGGAGAATCCCGCCACAACGGCCAGGGTTTGGGTCGGCAATGCTTGGGAGGGTCATGAGTGGCTAAGGCGGGCCGAGGAGGGGGGTGTGCAAGGGTTCCTTTCTCTTTTTTTCTTTTTTTCTTTTTTTTTCTTTTTTTTTTCTTTCTCATCCTGGTTGTGACGGCGTCTGACGACTAACACGACTCCATGTATTATGGTCCGGGACGTGGGTTTAGAAAAAAAAAATGTTCTTGTATAAGGTATTCTATGTAGTAGGTAGGTAGTATTATCTTTTATTATCTATCAATATATACATACATATATATATATATACGACGGGGGTCACCCTCTTCTCGACCTTTTCTCCCCCCCTCTCTCTTCTTTCCAGTGTCTTGCTTGTTTTCTTGGGATCCTTCCTTTTTCCTCTCCTCCCCCCCTTTCTATTACTCTTGACAATTTTCTTTCTTTGTTCCATCGAGAGAAGAGTGCTGTACTATGCTTTCCTTTCCATCGTCTCTCTTCTCAACCTGATCAACAACGGTACTTGGTAAAAGAAGCCAGAATATCCTACCCGGGTCCGGGTCTATAAACTACAATACGATAATATATATATGAGCAACTACAGCCACAACAACTGCGACAACAAAACACAGCGACAGACGGAAAAGAAAGAAAGAAACAAACAGATTATATATAAAAAATGTCTACAACGGAAAAGCAACAGCTGCCCGACGAACGGGTCCCTTCACCCCCAGAAACGCTCAACAACGAAGACGGAAACAACGATGCCCTCTCGACCTCGCCACCGAAGGAGCGCATGCCCGTCGTCGAGCCCGGCCCGGCCGCCTCCGACTCGGAGCACAAGCTGGTCCAGTTCAGCCCCGACGACCCCGGAAACCCGAAGAACTGGTCGAAGCTGTACAAGTGGTACTGCACCATGGTCGTGGCCGTGACCTGCTTCGTCGTCGCCTTCGCATCCGCCGTCATCACCGCCGACATCTCCGGAGTCGCCGAGACCTTTGACGTCAGCAAGGAGGTCGCCCTCCTCTCCATCACCCTCTTCGTCGTCGGCTTCGGCGTCGGTCCCATGGCCTTTGCTCCTCTGTCCGAGATTTACGGCCGTCAAGTCATCTAGTATGTCTCGGCTTCTTTCTTCTTTCTCGCATCTTTTCCTCTTCTTTTCTTTCCTTTTTCAAGAAAGAGGAAGAGAATCTCTCTCCCTCTCTCCCAGATCAGAGAAAGAGAGGAACCAAGAAACTGACAAGAGTGTTCTTCCAGCGCATCCACCCTGCTCATCGCCGTCGTCTTCATCATCCCCTGCGCCGTGGCCAAGAACATCTCCACCCTGCTCGTCTGCCGTGCCATTGATGGAATCGCCTTCTCGGCCCCCATGACCCTCGTCGGAGGCACCCTGGCCGATCTGTGGAGGAATGAGGAGCGTGGTGTCCCGATGGCTGCCTTTTCTGCCGCGCCCTTTATCGGTCCTGCTAGTGAGTGCCTCCGTCTTTTCTTATCCTTCTTCCCCTTCTTCTCTCGAAGAAAACAGAGACGAGAAGAGAACAAATCTGACCATCTGCCTCTCCTCCTCCTCTTCTCTCCCCGACAGTCGGACCCCTCGTCGGTGGTTTCCTTTCCGACGCGGCAGGCTGGAGATGGCTGTACTGGATCCAGCTGATCCTCGCCTCCGTCGTCTGGATCCTCATCAGCTTCACCGTTCCCGAGACGTACGCGCCCACCATCCTCAAGAGGCGCGCCAAGAAGCTGCGCAGCGAGACCGGAGACGCCAGCTACAAGACCGAGCAGGAGATCGAGGGCAAGCCCGTGTCGGAGCGCCTCCGCGTCTTCCTGGTCCGCCCGTTCCAGCTCCTGTTCGGCGAGCTCATCGTCTTCCTCATCTCCGTCTACATGAGCGTCCTGTACGGCCTGCTCTACATGTTCTTCGTCGCCTTCCCCGTCGTCTACCAGGAGGGCAAGGGCTACTCGGCCGGCACGACGGGCCTGACCTTCATCCCCGTGGCCGTCGGCGTCGTCGCCTCGGCCTTCTGCGCGCCGCTCGTCAACCGGCACTACCTCAAGATGGTGCACCGGCACGGCGGCAAGCCCCCGGCCGAGGTGCGCCTGATCCCCATGATGATCTCGTGCTGGTGCATCCCCATCGGCCTCTTCATCTTCGCCTGGACCTCGTACCCGGACCTGTCCGGGGCCGGCCCCGCCATGGGCGGCTTCCCCGTCGGCTTCGGCTTCATCTTCCTCTACAACTCGGCCAACAACTACCTCGTCGACTCGTACCAGCACCAGGCCGCCTCCGCCCTGGCCGCCAAGACCTTCATCCGCTCCTTCTGGGGCGCCGCCGTCGTCCTCTTCACCGAGCAGATGTACGCCCGCCTCGGCGACCAGTGGGCCTCCAGCCTCCTCGCCTTCATCAGCCTCGGCTGCTGCGCCATCCCCTTCCTCTTCTGGGTCTACGGAGCCAGGATCCGGTCCCGCAGCAGGTTCGCCTACACCGGCGACGACGAGCCGACCGCAAAGGAGGACCTCGAGATGGCCAAGCGAGGCGAGGGCGAGGGCGGCGTCTTCCGGGACGAGAACGACCTCGACACCGACGAGGATCTCAGGAGGGCCATGTCCTACGTCAGCAACCCTTGAGAGAGGAATCCACCTCCACCACCTCCACCCCCCTCTTCACTTGCTCTCATCACCTCGCCATCACTGCCATCACCGCCATCACCGCCATCGTCATCATCGTCGTCGTCGTCACCCCCTTCCCATACCATTTCTTTCCTTTCATCTTCTCTGTCCTGCCAAGATCGTCCTTATACCTCGGCTCCATGTGGGCCAACCTTTCCCTCCCCCCCCCCCCCCCCCCCCCCCCTTTTTATTTTATTTTATAAATCTTCTTCTTTCCTTCCTTTCTATCTTCTTCCATCTCCGTATTCGTTATTTATTTTCCCTCTCCCTGGCATTATCAACCGGATCTGTATATACATTAGAGCTTTTCTAGACAGCGTTTAATATCTCATTTGCATTTCGTCGAGAACCGGCCTATGTGATTCTGTTTCTCGTCTCCATTGCCGAGACGAGACTGGGTGGCAAGAGCAGGAGCACATTGACAAGATTTCAGAGTAGTATGCTGATCGTAAGCAGATGTGCCCAGATTGACCTACCGGTCGTTGAGACCATCGAGAGGGTCCGGTAGCGAATCGGGCCGCTCCCGAGGTGCGGCATCTTCCAAGCAGCCTGTACGATTACGTGTAGATCGCCAAGTATGATATCTAGATCGCGCGTCGCGCTGCATACCCGGATTGCATATCGCTGCTACCGTAAGTTGGGGGGGGGGGGGGGGGGAGGGGGGGAAAATTTAATCCGGGCCGGGGGGGGGGGGGGGGGGGGGGGGGGGGGGGGGGGGGGGGGGGGGGGGGGGGGGGGGGGGGGGGGGGGGGGGGGGGGGGGAAGGGGTGGACAGATTACTACTGGCCGAGCTGGATGAGCGTGGGGGGCCCCGTTGGGACCGTCACGCATACCGACCTTGCTGCCCCCAACGTTGCAGGAAGTGGCTCCTGGGCTGTCGAGAACATCGGATGCGCCGCAGTTCTAGGTGGTAGATGATGACGGAAACCTCGTTTCCCAGAGAGCCGAGGCCATCGGGCGAGATGCATCAGCAGCCAAGGCGAGAACCTCTTGCCGCCACGGTTGGGACGGCCGAAGCCTGCCCCTGACTGCCATAGCGAGCTGGTCCTTCCGGCACTGGCCAGGATCGGGGTATGTGGCCCTGATCGGTAGGGCATGGTCATCGTCGGGGTGGGAACGGCTAGGAGCGTTTTGGGAGAAGCTCTGATGTCTGATGGGGGGGTGGAAACGTAGTCCCCCCCCCCCCTAGGAGGAAGAGAGGGGGTCGAGGGGTTCGAGGGGGGTCGAGGGGGTCGGGGCCCCCCAGACGGGGCGGGCACGTGGAAGACTGGAGCTCCCATGCCACGTGAAGTCCAGTCGGTAGCATACGCCTATACAGAGCCGGATGCATCGATGCCGGAGCGTTGGGGAAGCGGTAAAGCTTAGCCATGACAGTTGGCTCGTGACGATCTGGGGTCGCGAGCCGAACCTCACCGTACACCCGGGCCCGATGCATCATCATCTTTCGACGAGAGATGGCGGAGGATGAAGAGAACCGACGAGTGCGACTCGATCAGCTCATGAAAACGCCCGACTCCAGGCCGAGGCCAACCCCCTCCGCCACAGGACGAGTCCATGACTCGCCACCACATGGCAATATACGGTGTACCAGTGGCGCCATTCCACGCGATAATCCAGCACAGTCCTGCGGGCTTGACATGTCAATACGGCATTAGGGCCGAGAGCTGCGCCTAAGATTACTGGAAGGGGAATCCCCATGGGACTTATGTGGGGAAACTGGATGGAAGCCCCAAGTACCGGCGACCCCCGTCGAGCGGGGGAAGTGGATGGTGATAATTTCCCTCCCCCGGTTGAGTCCAAGATAAGCTACCCTCACCCTCTCTCCTTGCCCACTCTTGGCTGCCCCGGACGGCCCTCGTTAGCAGCACTGCCCCGATTCCGGTTACTCTGAGGGCGTTGAGAGCTGAGGCATTTAAAAAAAAAAGGAGTTGATGTCTGTCATGGATGGCTATCACCTGTTTCTCTACCCCAGTTTGTTTCTCTCGTAATTCCCGGGTGCATGTGTAGTGTATACATATATATATATATATATATCCCCCTTCCCCCCTCCCCCCCCCCCTCCCACTCTCTCTCTCTCTCTCCATTTAATAGCATATCTATTAACGTTAAAAGCAACTGGTCCCAAATGGTAGCTACCATCTATCCATCACAACCGGTGTCTCGCCTTCCAACCCACGAGCACGTACTATCACGTGAAAGTGACGACATTGGGACCGATCCCCTCCCCCTTTCCATAGCCATGAAGCTTTCCGATGCCTCGCAGGCGGCCGGCGCGGCACTCCTGGTGCTGGCCACCGGCGCGGAATCGTACAGGATCCCTCACGGCAGCTCCGCAACCCCCAAGGTCAAGGTGCTCAACGGCACCTACTCGGGCGTGCACAGCTCCGAGTACGACCAGGACTTCTTCCTCGGCATCCCGTACGCGCAGCCGCCGGTGGGCGACCTGCGCCTGCGCGTGCCCCAGCCGCTGAACTCGACCTGGAACGGGACGCGCGAGGCTGCCGAGTACTCGCCCCAGTGCTACGGGTACGGCAGCGACACCTGGGTGCTCGGGAACTACGTCTCGGAGGACTGCCTGACCATCAACGTGGTGCGGCCGTCCGGGGTGGCGACGGACCACCTCCCGGTCGCGCTCTGGATCCACGGCGGCGGCTTCACCAACGGCGGCAGCTCCGACCCCCGGTACAACCTGTCCTTCATCGTCGAGGAGTCGGTCCGGGCCGGGAGCCCCATCATCGCGACCAGCATCAACTACCGCCTGCACAACTGGGGCTTCCTCCACAGCGACGCCCTCGTCGCCGAGGGGTCGACCAACCTCGGCTTCCGGGACCAGCGCCTGGCCCTGCACTGGGTGCGCGAGAACATCGCCGCCTTCGGCGGAGACCCGGAGCGCGTCACCATCTGGGGCGAGAGCGCGGGCGCCTACTCGGTCGGCGCCCAGCTGATCGCCTACGGCGGCCGCGACGACGGCCTCTTCCACGGCGCCATACTCGAGAGCGGATCTCCCCTGCCGCTGGGCTACGAGGCCGGGACGACAGAGTCGTGGCAGCCGTACTACGACGCCCTGCTCGACGCCGCCGGCTGCGCGGGCACCGCCGGCGGCGACTCCCTGGCCTGCCTGCGCGCGATCCCGGCCGAGGAGCTGAGCAGCGTCTTCAACAGCTCGTTCGCCGACGCCCCCTCGTACGGCCAGGTCGTCGACGGCGACTTCTTCGTCGCCACCGGAGACCAGCAGCTGCGCGAGGGCAGGTTCGTCAAGGTGCCCACCATCTCCGGCACCAACTTCGACGAGGGCTCCATCTACGGACCCCTGGGCGTCAACACGACCGAGCAGTTCCGGGAGCTGCTCGCGGCGAGGGGCCTCAACGACTCCGTCATCGCCGACGTCGAGGTCCTCTACCCCGACGACCCCGCCCTCGGCCTGCCCGCCACCTTCGAGGGCCGCCCCACCGGCATCTACGCCAACTACGGGGCCCAGTGGAAGCGCCTGGTCGCCTTCCTCGGCGACGCCGCCTTCCAGGCCCCCCGCCGGCTCACCACCCGCTCCTTCGCCGACGAGGGCGTCCCCATCTGGTCCTACCACTGGAACGTCCTCGTCAAGGGCATCGCCCCCCCCGCCGGCGTCACGCACTTCCAGGAAGTCGTCTTCGTCTTCCACAACGTCGACGGCCTGGGCTACGACACCGCCGTGGCCACCAACCCTCTCGCCGGCAAGCCCGAGGAGCTGATCAAGCTGGCCGACATCATGTCGAAGCAGTGGATCAGCTTCATCGCTCACGGAGACCCCAACTACCACGGTAAGGCCCTGCACTTTCTAGCATCGCTCTGCACATCTGGACACCCCCACACCCCCCCCTCCCCACATCTCTTCCTCAACCCTCTTCTCATTTCATCTTCATCTTTATATTTTTTTCTGTCTTCATCCTCTGTTTTACTGACAACTCTCCGTATAGACGAGAGCCTCTACTGGCCCAAGTACACGGCTCGGAAGCCCCTGAACCTCGTGTACGACGTCAACGTGACGCACTCCGGATATGCGGAGAAGGACACGTACAGGGAGAAGGAGATTGACTACATCATCGACACCATCTTGGTCTGAAGAAGTAGATAGTCATGTACATTGCTGCGACGATGAATCGCAAATCGCAGATAATAGAGATGTGAAACCGTCCGAAGCTGTGGCAAGCAGTGATCTCGACCACCCATACAACTCTCGGCCAGCCCCTCTTGGAGATCCGATGGTGAGGGGAGTAGCTCTTGATATCTCCTATACCTGCCGGATCGTTCTCGGGCCCTACGTCCCACGTCCGGACGGGCTTCCTTCGTCGTAGGGGGTGGTAGGACCCGGTGAACGTGCGTCCGCGGGATGACGGAGGAAGGCAGGCTTCTTCTCCTGTCTGTCTCCTCGCGGACGGGCTTCCCACCAGAATTGATAGGTATGATGGTATGATACCGGAACGTGACAAGCTCGGAAGACCACGCCACCGACATCTCCGGCATATCCGTTACCGGCATAGGCAAGACTCGAGAGAGACACGCTCGATCTCCGATGCCAGCATCCCGGCATCCCCCCCCTCCCTTGGCAGCCAAGACCAGGACATACGAGGACTAGACCGAGACCGTTTCTTTTTTTTTCCTATTACGAATATTACCATTCGAGGGAACAATGCCATGTGGGCGCAAGCTTCGAGAACTGTTCCAAACTAGTCGCGACTGTGTGGAGTCGCTTCACCGAGGTTCCGGGTTACAGGGTCTAGAAGAAGAAGAAAGGAAATAAGGATTCGTAACGTCTATGCATACGTGTAATACACTTCGGATGTAACCTGTCTTGGCATAGGAAGTCCTCAACAAAAAAAAAACCGAAAAAAAAAAAAAAAAAAAAAAAAAACAGAAAAAGAGGAAAACCGGAGAATGGTATGTACATGTCCGTGAGGCTTTCTAATGACGACTCCGACCAGCGGGTTCGCGTCGACCCCATACGCTACGCTACTGACATCGACCGGGAGAGGTTGGTACTGAGGACTAAGGAAAGAGGAATACGCCGAGATAATATTAGGTCAAAGGCAAAGGCAAACTAGAAGGTAGTTGGCCTCCCCCCCCCCCCTGGACCGGATCGGCTACTATCTTACTCCTTTCGGTTCTTCACCGCTCAAGGCAGATCGTTCTGCCGACGACGCCCGTCTCGACGGCTTGTCGAGGATGGCGATGAGCGCGTGAGATGACAGGCGAAGCGAGACGACCGAGATCAACCTAAGCAGAGCAGAGAATACAGCAAGGGCAGACTCAAAGCAGCGGCGGCTAAGGGTCAAGGCACGACGAGTACATGCTCGTGATACCGAGACGGGTCACGACACCAGAGACACGGCGGCCAATTCCCTCAAAAGTGGGTGCAGGTAATATATATGATGATATCACGAGAATGTGATAACACCTAGAGATACTGTCCATGCAAAGGTGGGGGAGTATGCCAATATCAAGACGGGCGACGACACCAGAGATACAGTCGATTCACCCAAGAGTGCAGAGGTGGGCTGTCTGCTGTCTGTGCTAGTAGGCGTCAAGTCTCTCTCGATACTGATCTTGCCGAAGTCGAGTCGAGCTCGGCTTGCCCAAGCTACGACGATACAGGTCACGCGTAGCGGTATGAGCCGTCAGGATCACGACGGGACGTCACGTAACGGGAATGATTGGTCATGTATTATGTATGCATATGCAGCGAATGCGTGTATGGGGGGGTTTGCCAGCTTCTTGGTGCCTTGACCCTGCTGCGGCGCGAGTCACGAACGCGTCACCACATGTGCGAGGACTGCTAGGACGACCATGCCCGGCTAGTATGCGACGCCACGGAGAGACTTCCTTGGCAGCGACTAGAGCTGCGGAGCCCGCCGACCGGAACTATCAATCTGATAATGGACAGGATCAAATCAATATATGCTAGCCGTTTCCCTTTGATGAGCTAGTCTTCCTCACCCGACTCGTCTCCTCTTTTTCCCTCTCCCTCTCCCTTCCTCCTCCGCTCTCTTCACGAGTCCTCTCTCTTTCATTTCTCCTTACCATGCAGCAGAGCAGTGTGGAGGCGAACAAGGATTGATCCTAGGCTATGCAGAATACGTAGTTTTATATCCGACGTTCGGCAGCGGGACAGCCAAGACAAGTGATGCCCACCATCTCGTCCTCGCCATCCACGGCAGAGCGAAAGGCCACGAGGTACATGTCACGAGAGAGGGCGAGAAGACTTTCGACATGTCTGATTGATAAAAGGAGAAGAAGAAGAAGAAGATAAGATCAAGAAAATCTCTGCTCCTCGAGAATTCGGATCATGCCTCACTTTTTTTTTTTTTTTTTTTTTTGTGGTCCTCTATAGAGATTGAATCCCCATCTTTTGTCTCTAAACGAAACTGCCTGATTGGATCGGCATTGACCGTACGGATGGCAAGCTTAAAAAGAGAAAAGCTAGGACCTCCTCTTCATCTCCACAGCTCAGCAACTATTATAGTCCATGGCGAGGCAGACGAAAGAGGAAGAATGCCAGCCGATTGGGGAGCAAGAGGGTCGAGGGTCAGCATAGGGGACCACTCTCGGCGCTGCAGACCAGTCTCGGACACTCGGCGGAGAATTTATCTGATGCTTCCTTGGTTGGGGACTTGGAGACGAGAGAGAGGAATAAAAAGATGGTAAAAACCGCATTGCATGAGACCCAGTTCTCTCTTCAAGAGTCGTGCCTTCTCTCTCTCTCTCTCTCTCTCTCTGCCTCTCCCCCTCTCTCCCTCTCTCTCCCTCTTGAACTGAACCCCGCCCCACGCCCCGCTCTCTCTCGTCCCTCTCTCTCTCTCTTCCTTTCTCCTTTTCGGTCTTCACCCGCTTCTCTTCTCATACTGTGCCATCAGAGAGCATCGAGAGCATCGAGAGCATCGACATCAGCCAACCCCCGGGGGACCCGATATGCTGACGTCCAAGGCAAACGCTTCGCCCGCGGCCTCGACCGACGAGGAGATGGTCACCCAGACTCCGTTGGATGAGAAGGTCGCGGCCGATGCGACGGCGCGACCTTCGGACGACTACGAGAAGCCCCGCGACTTCCCCTTGTCGTGGAAGTTGGTCGCCCTCGTTAGCGGTATCATGCTCTCTTGGGGATCCTCCTTTTCGGAGAATACCCTCGGACCGTTGAAGTCGACATTCAAGAAGGAGTTGAAGATTACGAATTCCCAGGTATGAGTCAAACCTTCTTCTACATGAATTTCTGTCCTCCTCCTCCTCCTCCTCCTCCCCATCTCTCTCTCTCTCCTCTCCTCTTCCTCCGAGTTGCGAGAAAGAAAGACTATCCTTTCGTCTCCCTCCGAGTTGCGAGAGAGAGAGAGAGAGGGAGAGAGGAGGGAGAGAGGACGGTATTGGAACGGACGGCGCTGACCCGTATACGCAACGCAGTATGGTGCCATCTCATCAGCCACCTCGTTGGTCAACACAGTGCTCCCCATCATCGGTGGCTACGCTCTCGACTATTACGGAGTCGAATGGTACGTGCTCCCCCTTGCCTCTCCGTCAGATGGAAGCCTTCCAGCCGGCCATGATTGGCGACCTGCGTCGATCTTTCCCCCGAAAACTGACACGCCTCCGTCCTTCAGGGGCTCGCTCGCCTGCTCGATAGTCATCTTCCTCGGCTCCGTCATCTCGGCGTCCGGCTCGAACAGCGACGAGTTCGGGCTCATCGTCGGCGGTCGCATCCTCATGGGTTTCGGCAGCACCCTCATCGAGACCTGCACATCCAAGGTCAGCAGCTAATCCCCGAAATCTCCTCAGATCACCTCTCTCACACGCTTGCATCGAACTCACACGACCTTTTTTTTCTTCTTCTCCACCCCCGTATCTAGATCCTAGCCCATTGGTTTCAGCATAGGGGACTTGGCTTGGTGTATGGGCTTGACGTTGCCGTCGGTAAGTTTCTTCTCTCTTCCTTCCGGCGGTTTTTTTTTTTTTTTTTTTTTTCCCTTCTCTTCTTGTTTCCCCCTCCTCCTCTTGAAATTCATGTGCTCACCCTCCTCCTCGTCTTCTCCAGGAAAACTCATCGTCCTAGCGGCCAAGTCGTCGGCCGTGCCCATGAGGGACGTCTCCTCCTTCTGGGGCTGGGCTCTCTGGATCCCGGCGATAACGTGCTTCGCCAACCTGGTCCAGAACGTCCTCTACGTCTGGTGGGCGTGGACGCGCCCCGAGTGGACCCGCATGCCGACCGGCCTGCAGGCCCAGCGCGACGCCATCAAGCGTCGGGACGCCCTCGAGGCCGACGCCGACAGCCCCGTGACCGTGTCGAGCGACAGCCGCGTCCGCCGCTTCTCCTTCCTGCCCAGCTGGCGCAACATCCTGCGCGTCCCGCGCTTCTTCTGGCTCGTCGTGTGCTCGCAGATCCTCCAGTCCGGCACCGTCGGCAGCTTCAGCAGCCTGAACGCGGACATCATCTCCGAGACCCGCGGCTCGACCGACCAGCTCGCCGGCTACACCTCGTCCATCCAGATGGTGATTCCCGTCGTCGCCACCCCGCTCGTCGGCCTCTTCTTCGACCTCGTCGGCTACCGCATGATGTTCGTCAGCATCACCTCGTCCATCTGGATCCTCGTCTACTGCCTCATCGGCTACTCCCACGTGAACGCTCTGGGGGTCATGGTCGTCGCCTCGTTCGCCACCACCATGAACTCCATCCCCTTCGTCGCCTCCATCCCGCTCATGGTACCCCGCCAGGTCGAGCTGGGCCTCGTCTTCGGCATCTGGAAGGCCTTCAACAACAGCGGCAGCGTCATCATGGACATGGTCTCCGGCAGGATCCAGGACATAACCCCCGGAAAGACGTACGAGCGCGTCGTCGCCTTCTTCGTCGTCGTCAAGGGCCTCGAGTTCTGCCTCGGTCTGTTCTACGGACTCCTCGACAGGAGGTAAGTTGACCCGCCACCGCCGCGGCTGCGTGAGACGTACGCGATGCAGACCGTGCTGACACCTCTACCTCCCCTCCCTCGTCAGGTACCTCGGAGGCATCCTGTCCATGAGCGAGAAGAAGCGCATGATGCTCGAGGAAGAGGGCAAGCTCCAGGAACCCGTCGGACGCAAGCCGCACAGGATCTTCACCATTGTCGGCATATCGATTGCTGCGTCCATGATCATCGTCGGATGGGTTCTCTTCATCCGATACACTCTCTAAGGCCAGTCGCGGGGCCATCATATAGGAGCGGCAGGTTCAATATAGAGGCACTCTACAGGTGACGGTACCGGAGCCCCGTCGGTTCTTCAGTCGGGTAGTGTCGTATACACTCACCCACGCGCGCAGGACATGTGACTCATCTACGAGACGGCAGCCGTGCTTCGTCGTCAACCACCCCCCCCCCCTTACCGACGATCTGTGTAAGCGTGGGGCCCACATGTCTGTTTTCGAGAGGGGTGTCTTCGTTCATCGTACTCTGCTCTTCTACATCGTACAGGGCACGATATTCTAGCTCACCAGACATGGCTGGGTAGAGGAGGGGGGGAGCATCTCCCTTTTGGTCTCTGGGGAACGAATGTCGTAGTAGAGTTCCCTCTGGGTATGCCTCTGGATATGCCTCTGGATATGCCTCTGGGTATGGAAGACGCCCCTTATCGGTGGCGCTGCCCTGTAGATGGCAGCAAGAGAGTACGAGTGGATGGTGGTCGATGGAGGAGGAGAGGTGCAATGTGAGGGTGAGGGTGAGAGGATAGAGGATGCGATCTGTCCCTGTCACGAAGTGGGACGTGCAGAGGGATAATGTACCAGTACCGCACTCCTCCCTCCTTAGAAGAATAATAGCTGTGGGTCGGGGATTTCCCCGAGTACCTGTACCCCAACCGAGGTATCCTGAGGAGACCTGGAACAGACACACACACACACACACACCAAGTTGATGCCTCCATAACCGAATTACACGACAGTTCCAAGCAGTGATGTTATGTAATACTCGTAGCAGAGGGCGTTGGCAGCAGCTGTCGAGCAGCTGTCCATCAGCAGATGTAATGGCCCGTAGGCACTAGGCGCTACAGATCACTGCAGATGCCCGTACCGGGGGCGCAGGGACAGTGGACAAGCCCGGCTCTCTCTCTCTCTCTCTGTGCGGATTACAGGTAGCCCCTCCACTAACTTGGGAAGCCTGCAGGCGGGGCAGCCGCTGGAGCGCACGGCACGGTATCACGGTGATAGATACTCGTAATGCTCGTTGCATAGGTGAAGACATGATGGGATTCATCCACGAATATGTAAACATGATGCAGTGAGACGGAGCCATCAATCGTCTTCTCTTTCTCTCTTCTTTTCTCTCTTCTTTTTTTTTTGGGGGGGGGGAACATTGGTCAACTAGTCCGACCGTGCATCTATTCCAGAGGCTAGATGGAACCGTTGGATGGTGGAGAGAAAAACGCGCACGTTGAAGCCCAGACTAGACATTTCGCACCGGCAGCGGAGGGTGGCTGCTCCTCTTCCCCTCCCCGACCCCGGCAGTCAGGGACTTGGCGCAGGTGCCGGTGCGGACGAATTCGACGAGGCTGCCGAGCGTGCAGTCGGCAATCTCCCGCAGGGCCTCGGCGGTGAAGAAGGCCTGGTGACCGGTGACGATGACGTTGTGGAAGGTGGTGAGGCGCATGATGACGTCGTCGGACACGATGTCGCCCGAGTGGTCCTCGTAGAAGAGGTCGGCCTCGCCCTCGTACACGTCGAGGGCCGCTCCGCCGATGTGCCTGTCCTTGAGGCCCTGGATCAGGTCGTCCGTCTTGATGAGGCCGCCGCGCGACGTGTTGACGATGAGGACGCCCCTCCTCATGCGGCGGATGCTGCGCTCGTCGATGACGTGCCGCGTGCTCTCCATGAGCGGGCAGTGCAGGCTGACGATGTCGGACCGGGCGAGCAGGTCGTCCAGGTCGTCGACGTAGCTGCAGCCGTCGATGTCGGTCAGCGCGGCCGTCGGGAACGGGTCGTAGGCGAGCACGTGGCACCCGAACCCCCTCATGATGCGCGCCGTCGCCAGCCCGATCTTGCCGGTGCCGATCAGGCCGGCCGTCTTGCCGTGCAGCGTCATGCCCAGCAGCCCGTTGAGGCTGAAGTTGGCCTCGCGCACCCGGTTGTACGCCCGGTGCGTCGACCGGTTCAGCGTCTGCATCAGCGCCACCGCGAACTCCGCCACCGCCTCGGGCGAGTACGACGGCACGTTGGACACCATGATCCCCCGCCGGGCCGCCGCCTCCAGGTCCACGTGGTTGAAGCCCGCGCACCGCAGCAGGATAGCCCGCACGCCCTGCCGCGCCAGCGAGTCGATCACCACGCTGTCGAGCGTGTCGTTGACGAAGGCGCATACCGCCTGCACCCCCGTCGCCAGCGATACCGTCTCTCGGTTCAGCGGGACATCGTGAAACGTTATGGATATGGCTGACGAGGCTTCGTTGGCCGCGTGCGCCTCCTCGAGATATCGTCTGTCGTATGGTTTCGTGCTGAAGACGGCGAGTGTCGTAGCCATCGCTCGTGTCTGTTTCTTTTCTTTTTTTCTTTTTCTTTTTTTTTTCTCCTAACTTTCTTCCTTCCCTTCTTGTTCTGTTCTTGTTATGATCAGATGTGAGGAGGATGAGAAGAGACGGCCGGCGTTCCGTGAGGAGAGCTGGTGTAAGCATAGACAAAAACCTTGGAGGGGGGAGGAGGGAGGGGGGAGGGGCAGTGTATCCCCTGGATGCATCACATTGCAGTAGTCAGATACAAGCTTAAATACAGAGAGTGCAGATATCCCTGCCAAGCGTGTGACGGGTCTCATGCTATTTTTGTCCTCAATGCTGGCCTCGGAGGAAACACGAGTTAATCTATCGCTCAATCAATCCAATTCGAGCTTGAGATACCGAGTACGGGAATATATATATATACAATATATATATATATCCATGCCAAGAATGGCCCCCAATCATCCGCCCATTCCCGCTCTCATATGATGCCCCGCCACTCACGACTCTGGTGTCGTAGTCTATATTATATAGTGCCGGTAGAGAGCAGATCACTGGCCCAGATACTCCTTGAAGGTCTGCTCAAACTTCGTCTTGGGGATGACATCCTCCGGGAACCCAAACACCTCCTTGCTCGTAGAATCGGTCGTGGCCGCGCCGTCCCACCACGTCTCGAGCGCCCTCTTGGCCGATTCCGCCACGTTCCTGTGTTCCTCCGCGTACTCCACGAGAAGCGGGTCCATGAGCGAGGCGTCCCTGTACACGACGCCGGGGACCTTGGCCCCGATGGCGGCCTCGATGAGGTCCACGACCTGCTGGCCCGTCACGTCCTCCGGCCCGTTGAGGACGTAGCGCTTCCCGTTGTGCTCGGACCTGAGGACCGAGTCCGTCTGGAGGAGCAGGTGCGCGGCCACGGTGCCCACCTCTGCCGGCAGGATGTACGCCACCGGCGCATCCCTGTCGATGACCAGGCGGAGCGGGGTCGTGTGGTCCCCGCCCGCGTAGGCCGCGACGTACTGGACCGCCGGACCGGCCACCATGTGCGTGAAGATGTTGGGATGCAGCGTCGTCCACGCCAGCTCGCCCTTGGCCTGGAACCCGGAGGACTCCAGGACTGCGTCGATCGCCCAGTGCGTGCGCGGGTAGGCGGCCGGCGCGTCAGGTCGCACGTTCTGCGCCGTCGTCGAGATGCGCACCACGTACTTGACCCCGGCGTCCCGTAGGCTGACGTGGAATCCCGTCTCGTCGGGGAAATGGCTGGGTCCGGTGTGCGGGGCGATGAAGGCCCTGGTGACACCTTGCTCGCGCAGCCACTCCACCGACACGTCGATCCAGTTCTTCTCCAGCACCTCGACGTGCCGGAGCTGCGAGAGCTCCTGCGCCGTCTTGTTCTTGGCGGATCGGGTGAGGGCCAGGATCCTGTGCCCGGCCAGGGGACTGCCGTCCAGCTTCTCGGACAGACGCCGGACAGCGTTCTGGCCCGTGTTGCCGGTGGCGCCTGCGATCAGGATAGTAGGGGTGGGAGACATGGCTGGCCGTTATGATAGAGGATGGTGATGGATGGTCTGGGGGGGACGTGCAAGGGGTTGCAGTGATGAGGGGGGG